GGGCCCTGCGCCCCCGATCCCGCACGTGAGCCCGTGAGCGGGCACCGGGCCGGGTCCCGCCCTCCCCCGGCTCCTCCTCCGACTCCTCCTCGAGGCTGGGCCGCTGGCTGCGGTAGTAGGCGCGCTCGGTCAGCGCGGCTATAAAGCTCAGGTTGCGAGGGATGTCGGTGCGCGGAGGCCGCTCGCGGGACATGACAGCCCTGCGCCCCAGCGGGGCCAGCGCGCAGTACCCGGCGCGTCCTCGCTCGCCCGCCCGCCTGCTCTGCGGCCGCGCATAAGGTGGAGGGCTGCTTCGGCAGCTGCGGGCCGTGCACTCTCCTTGCAGTCGCCTCGCGTGCTCGGCCTGGCTCGTTTCCTGGACCACCTTTCCCTCCCTTTGGCGGTCAGCCCCCGTGTCTTAGGCTGTCCGTCCTGCCTGCTACCAGCAGTCTGCTCTGAGCGTGCGCTCAACGGCGCTCACCCTTCGGTTCTGCGGGCCTCGCTGACCCGGCCCCCGCCCACAGCCCTCTGACAGGTGGCTCGGAATCTGTCTTCACTGCTGCACCAGGGGGCGGGACTGAGTCCACCCTTGGGGTCCCAGATGAGTTTCTCCAGTAGTGAGAAGGGACAAAGCTGGGAGGAAAGAAATCTTTCGTTTCCTTGTACAGGAAAGTTCAAAATGCCGAGGGTTTAATTCTCCCCAGACCTCAGTGTTTTCTCAAGCCCAGGCTACAGGTTTGGGATAGGGGTGAGGATGGGTGTAGTGAAAGAAAGGCCACGAATTCTAGGTAGGTAGAGTCTTTCAAGTAGAAAACGTCAAAGAATGAGCGGTGGACATAGGACTGCTATTTTTCATTTTCATTTTTGAAAAATACGCTAGTGACAATTTTACAATGGCATGTAAAATTTTTTCTAATTACTGACCTTTTGTCAAAGATTAGTTTCATTTTTTAAGAAATTCTGTGTATCGGGTCGGAGTTTATGTGTACCGGAGTGCAAGTGCCCACAGGGGTCAGAGGAGGACATCAGATACCAGCTACTGTGGAGCCGGAGTAACAGATGTGAGCTGCTAAAAGCTGGTGCTGAGAATCCACTAGGGCCCTCGAGAAGACTGGCATGTGTTCTTACCTGCCGAGCCATCTCTCCCGCTCTCTACAGTGTTTTATAATACAAAGCACTAGAGCCGGGCGGTGGTGGCGCACGCCTTTAATCCCAGCACTCGGGAGGCAGAGGCAGGCGGATCTCTGTGAGTTCAAGACCAGCCTGGTCTACAAGAGCTAGTTCCAGGACAGGCTCCAAAACCACAGAGAAACCCTGTCTCGAAAAACCAAAAAAAAAAAAAAATACAAAACACTAGGCATTATTATAGTATTTGTGATTGTTACAAATATTACAGATGAGAAAATAGAGGGAAAAGAGCTGTGCCTAGTGTCGCAATTACTAACTGTGGAGCTAGGATTAGGGCCTCAGCAGCTGAACTCTAGTGAACAACATTAAAACTGTTAATGACAATACTAGTATTTTCATTAAATGATAATATTAAAATCTAATGTAGAAGTGGAAGTTAGGGGCTGGGAAAATGGCTCAGTGCTAAGAGCATGCACTACTCCAGGGGATCTGATGTCCTCTTCTTGCCTCCGAGGGCACCTGCACTCACATAAACACATAATTAAAATGAAATATATATGTTGGGCAAGTTGGCGCACACCTTTAATCCCAGCACTCGAGAGGCAGAGGCAGGAAGATCTCTAAGTCTGAGACCAGCCTGGTCTACAGAGTGAATTCCAGGACAGCCAGGGCTACACTGAGAAACCCTGTCTTGAAAACCCCAAGTGTGGTGGCACAGGCCTTTAATTCCAGCAGGGGGAGGCAGAGGCAAGTGGATCTGTGTGAGTTCAAGGCCAGCCTGGTCTACAGAGCAAGTTCCAGGACAGGCAGAGCTGTTATACAGAGAACCCTTGTCTCAAAAACAAGAAACCAACTAACCAAACAAACAAAAAATGAAGGAAAGAAAGAACAAACTCAAAATAAATAAATAAATAAATAAATAATAAAATGGGACCAGGAATGATCTCTGTGAGTTCAAGGCAGCATGGTCTACAAAGTGAGTTCCAGGGCAGCCATGACTGTGTCTTTTTGAGCCTGTCTCAAAAAGAAAAGAAAATACTAGAGTAAAAACGAAATCTCTAAATTTATTTATTTGGGGTGCTGGGGTTTGAACCCAGGGCCTCGGGCATGCTGGGCAGATACTCTGCCACTGAGCTCACGAAGTCTCTAGATTTGTAACAGGATGGTTTAACCAAACAACAGAAGTGCCTCAAGTGGAAACAGACAGTGAGACCTGTGCTATCTTATTATCACACAGTGAGACCTATGCTATCTTATTATCACACAGTGAGACCTGTGCTATCTTATTTATCACACAGTGAGACCTGTGCTATCTTAGTATCACACAGTGAGACCTGTGCTATCTATCTTAGTATCACACATTCACCCCTGTGTGTGCTTTCACATCAACATTAAACACAGCAATCCTAGCTAGGACTCATTTTAAAAACCATATTGCGTTTTGTTTCTTCTTTCACACATAAAATGCACGAACATACTTTATGTCTTAAGGTGTAAAATAACTGTACGCTAATTAATCTTACAGTCGGGCAGTTTAAAGGGATCCTCCTCACGCTGGTAAAATAACATGTCACTGAAGTAAAACCAAGGAGGTTCCCGGATAGTTTATGCCCTGGCGTTTTTGGCAAAGGCTCTGCTGTCCTGTTTACAGTTCGCTGTATCATACCTTGGCTTTGTAGTGTGGGGCTGGGAAGATAGAGAGCTTTGAACTAGATATAAACTGCTGTCTGACAATTCTGTTCTGAGTGCTCACACTGACATTGAATCTTTCTTCCAAATCAGTGTTTATTTTTTGAACAGCAACAGCAGTAATCTTTAAACATCTGCCTGGAACTGCTCAGAGATTGGCCAGAGGTGTTAACTGATTCATTTACTCAACACTTACTGTTGGCTTATTTGAACATGAAGACACAAATTTGAATAAACCACAGCCCTGGCTGTCAAAGAGCTTAAAAATCAAAGGTCAGACAGAAGCATATTAGGGTCTCTTAAGGTCAGCAACAACAGCAAAGTCAGTGTGGAGTGCAATCCTGTAATCCCTGCACTGATCAAGAGGTGCAGGTAGAAGGTTCATCAGGGTTCTCTTCATCAACACAGTGAGGTCAAGGCCAGCCTGGACTACGCAAGACCTCACGGCAGAACACAGCCACAAAGTATATTCATGTCAGGTAAATGTCTTAGAGTAAACCATATTGCAAATGAAAGCCTCAAAGTAGACCTGCTTTAAAAACAGTGTGTGTGTGTGTGTGTGTGTGTGTGTGGTGTCTTGTTGGTGGCACCTAGAATGATCACTCCAAGAACAAAGGAGAAATGAGTATGGGTGGAAGGATATAACTATGAAAGAGTGGAATATAGGCTGTATGTTCACAGTCAGAGAACTGAGTAAGGACTCGAGTAAGAACTGAGTAAGAACTGAGTTCGAGGCCAGCCTGGTCTATAAATCCATTGCTGTGGATTCTAACTATAAGAGCAGCATTGACTGCCAAAGGGATGAAACGGTCATTTTAAGACAATACACTGTCAAAGTTCAAACTTATGGGTTAGACTGATGCAGATTTAAGTCCTAACTGCTCTCCTCGGTGTGTGGATTTGGGCAAATGATTTAACCTGTCCAACCAACCCTCAGTTTCCTTTTTCATGGAATAAGGGCTAAGCAACTTAGAGATGATTAAGAACAAAAATTACACATGTAAAGAAAGTGCTGTGGCTCGCCTGTAATGACGCCAATCTAGAAAGCTGGCAGAGACAGGTTGTGAGTTCAAGGTCAGACTCACCTACGAAGGAGAGAGAGACAGAGTCCCCACAATGTGTTGCTGCTACCCTCACTGTGGCTTCCCTGATGGCTGCACAAACGGGCGCCCAGGCTAGTGGGAGAAGCAAGGGAAGCAAGAAAACGGAAGCAAAGCAGCACAAGGGGCTGCCTCTTTCTGGTCTCAGCTAGAGGGGTTTTTTCCTTTCGTTTTGCTTTGCTTTGCTTTTCAGGACAGAGTTTCTCTGTGTAACTGTCCTGGAACTCGCTTTGTAGGCCAGGCTGGCCTCGAAATTCACAGAGATCTGCCTGTCTCTGCCTCCCACGTGCTGAGAGGGTGATTTAGACCTTTAATCCTAGCAGATCTGAGACAGAAGCAGGCAGATCTCTGCAAGTTCGAGGCCAGCCTGGTTTATAAAGTGAGTTCCAGGATGGCCAGGGCTACACAGAGAAGAAACCCTGTCTCGAAAAACAAATATAAATATATATCCACGTATAAGATAGCTACATGTAATCTGTAAAACAGGTATTAACCTTAACGTTGGCAACCTGCATTTAGGGAGGGTGGGTATGATTAGTAGGCATGAGTCCATTTGTGCCTTTGTTTGACCCTTTTAAATAATGAGAATTCATGTGGCGGGAAAAACATAACGAAAATCAATCTGATTACAAAAGACGAAGGGTGCTTGTGGACGCTGCAATGCAAGGCCTCGCGCCCTGGTGCCCAGCTGAGGCTCCAGTCCAGGGAGAGCCCACTGCATTAAGGGTCCGGAGGGAAACTGGGTTTCTGTTTCGTGTCTCTTATAGTCCCACAAGGGTAAGGTGCTGTTCCCAGGTTAAAGGAGACTGTTCTTCCTTCCCCAGGCACATAATCCAAAGCTTGGAAGTTCAACAAGTGTATGAACAAGACACACCTTCCGGAAATGCTGAATTTGCACCCAGATAATGAGGCCGGGTGTGTTTCTCTGGCTACGCTGCGGGCTCGGCAAGCAAGCCGGCCGGCTCCGGTCACCGTCACCATGGCCTCCGAAGTGCTTTTCAATGGCCCTCTCTTCCAGGAGTTGTGGCTCTTCCCAGCCCTGCCTCCCAGCCCCGCCCCTCTCTCTGGACGCATCTCTGGGTCCCATCATCACCCGGCGCCGGGCCCTCCCTCCCGGCCCCCCCTCCTCCCTCTCGCCCCCACCTCCTCCCTCCTTCCTTCCTTCCCTTCCTCCCTTCCTCCCTCCCTCCTAGTTCCTCCACCAGGAAACAACCGGATCCGGATCCCGGCTGCGGCCTGACCCGTGAGATTTCCTAACCTGGCTGGCGGGCGGGGTTGGAGACCAGCTACGGGTGGGAGAAAGGGAGGAGCTGGGCCTTTGGGCTGCACTTGGGGGAACCGGGAGTAGAGATGGTGTCGGCAGGAAGCCCGTGGACCCGGGTTTCCCGAGAGGCCAGTCATTAAACATGGAATCGGCCACACAGCTGGCAAAGCCTTGGAAGCTGGGGCCCAGTCCCAGGAGCTGCAGTTCCAGCCCTTTCCGGGCCAGACCCAGATCCCTGGCCTTTTTCATCTAGTTCTGCTCTCTCCCTCCCTTTTCCAGGGCTACACTCTGGCCGGGAGGATGAAAGGCCTCAGCAGGGAGCTCCCTGCCACCAGCACTGGGTCCTAAGAGCTGCCATCCAGGCTGGGTAAGTGTCTTTTTCCTTTCTGCCCCACACAGCCCTTGCTTTCCCCATCTTGCTCTTTAGTCCCTGTCGCCTCCCTACCTGTGCCTGTCAGCATCTTCATATTATGCTCCTGGGGGGGTCCTAAGCCTCCTCCTATAGCCAAAAAGGTGTGTACCGTGGGGGTGGGGCGCAGAGGTGGCATACAGCTGGTATTGTCATATGAAAGGAATCTGAAGTAGTCTAAAATTAAAATTTAATTTGACATGTAATACGTGGCCAGCTGCTTATGCCGTGAGCCCACCCCATGACAAACCCTTTTCCTCTTGCTTGTCCCTGTCCAGTGGTCTCCGGGCATTTCACCTATCCCAGGAGGTTGGCCAAATAGGAAATGTCCCCTCTGGGTCTCTTTTAATATTTTCTATCTATTTATGTCAGTCTGTCATCCTTGCCTCTTCTAGCCGCCCGGATGGCGACCCCAGCCTCAGCCCCAGACACACGGGCTCTAGTGGCTGACTTTGTAGGCTATAAGCTGAGGCAGAAGGGTTATGTCTGTGGAGCTGGCCCTGGGGAGGGCCCAGCAGCTGACCCGCTGCACCAAGCCATGCGGGCTGCTGGAGACGAATTTGAGACACGCTTCCGGCGCACCTTCTCCGACCTGGCTGCCCAGCTACACGTGACCCCAGGCTCGGCCCAGCAACGCTTCACCCAGGTTTCCGACGAACTTTTCCAAGGGGGCCCCAATTGGGGCCGTCTCGTGGCATTCTTTGTCTTTGGGGCTGCCCTGTGTGCTGAAAGTGTCAACAAAGAAATGGAGCCACTGGTGGGACAAGTGCAGGATTGGATGGTGGCCTACCTGGAGACGCGCCTGGCCGACTGGATCCACAGCAGTGGGGGCTGGGTAAGAAGCTTCTCAATTGCTGCCCTACACATCCCTCTGCAGAGTTGCTCTTCATGGGAAAATGGGGCCTCTGATTGGAGGCTGGGGGATTTGTGCTGGGAAGGAGCCATTGGGGCTGAGTTCCCCTGTTTAAGTGGCGTCAGACTGAAAGCAGCAAGCTAACTGTCCTCCGGGGCTACCATGCAGTAAGCGCAGGATGGGTTTCATGGTCCCAAGCAGACGACCGAATACAGAGTTTTATAAACAGTACCCAAAGAGCCTTCTGAGAAAAGGTGTGCCCCTGAGTACACAGCCTGGACAGTGGGGAGGACCAGGGATGGGTTGTGGTTAGGCAAGTCTTAGCAAAGGATGCCAGTTCTGAGCAGAATTGTTTGCCAAGGAAAAGATGGGGCTCACTTGATGCGGACAGTGCAAAGGAGCCAAGTACCCTGGGCAGGGGGGTAGAGGGTTCCGAGGGGCGTGTAGGCGGTAGAGCTTTGGCGAGAGGGACTGGGTGTGGGCAGTGCTCACAGTGGATGGAACTGGAACTCTTCCCTCCCTCTTCTCTCCACTCTCCTTCCCTGATATCCCTTTCTCCTTCTTTCTCTACTTCCCTTCTCTCCCACAGGCGGAGTTCACAGCTCTATACGGGGACGGGGCCCTGGAGGAGGCACGGCGTCTGCGGGAGGGGAACTGGGCATCAGTGAGGACAGTGCTGACGGGGGCTGTGGCACTGGGGGCCCTGGTAACTGTAGGGGCCTTTTTTGCCAGCAAGTGAGAAAGTCTAGGGCCAGGTGGGGCTAGGTGTGGCTAGGGGGCCAGGAGAGCTGGAACAGAACAGAGAATGATGCCCTTGGAAGAAATTGGATGGTCATGGAACAGAAGGACAGGGGAAGGTAGTGTGTGAGGGAGCCAAGCGTGCCAGGCAGGTGGCAAGAAGAAACATTGAGGAATGTTTCAAGGCCAGGAGCTCAGATGGAGTCATCGCAGGACTTGGGGAGAGGTAGGAGGCTCCAAGGAAGGTGAACTTATTTCAAGAATTGTGTCGTCCCCCCCTCCCCGATGAATGGGGTCTAAGGAACCTAGGATTCACCTCCCTTTGGAATGGAAGCTTGGTGATTAGGTGACTGGATGAATGGCTATGGCTGTGGGCTGCATGGGCACACGTGTGCATGTTGCACATGCACGCACGCTCATGTGCATGCTGGGCTGTTTGTCAAATCTGGTGATGGGATATTTCGAGAAAGCATTCCTTCTTGCAGTGACAAGAACAAGGGCCAGCTCGCTGGTCTCCTCCCCACTGTCCCTGCCCTTGACCTTATGCCTCCAGGCCGAGGGAGGACTACTGTATCTAGATGAGGACGCTGGCACTGCCCAAGTTGTTGGCAGGCTGTGGAGAGAGAGGTCTGCAGCCTTGATCCTCCTCGGCCCCCTGCTGTGTGCACCTTTTGCACTTGGGCTGACAGAGGGCAAGGCTGTGGAGCCTGCGTGGGTAGAAGCTTTGGTAGTTGGACCTGCCTGCCACCTTCCCCTCCAACGGGGGCACAATGGTGCCTAAAGTGTTGCCTATTTCTGGAACCTCTCTATCCAGCAGAAACTCTAAATTGGGGCTCTAATTTTCCTTTAGAGGATGTGGACATAAATGCCGACCTAGAATTGTTTGGGTCCCGAGCGGTCTCGGCGAGACGCGATGCCTTGAGAGGACCATTCCAGCTCTGAGCCCCTCGGGTGTGATGGTGACAGATACCCCTTGACTGGCTTGTTCTGTGTGACAGGTTCTGCTGCTGCTCTATCAGAGACCAGGTGTATGGGTTCTAGGGTACCTACCGTGACCTAAACAGGTGGAGGTTTCCTTTGAAGCCATGCCCTTTGCATAGGTGTTGTCAACACGGAGTCTCTGAGGACGCTAGCATTAGAACTCGCAGTCCAGTCCTCTAGAACAAATCCGGACTATAGCTTTTTCCGTTGAGGGAGAAATGCATGCCCTGAGCCAGACCTCACTGCTGCACTTTCCGAGGTGCGAGCGTCGCTGCTCTTCACTGCTGACTCGTTCACAGTGCTCTAAACCCCAGCTGCGATGCTGAGCGCTGCTCGCCTGAGCTAGACCACAGCTGACTCGACTACTTCTCACTTGGTCCGAGAATGTGGCATCATACTGTGCTTGCTAGAATGTGGGACCAAATTGGCCTCAGGTGTTTTGTCCAGACTCCTCTTTGGAGAGGGTTGCACTTTTTCATAGTGTCTGTGGGGGGTGTGGTAGGCTGCATGTGCCAGTTGGCGTGCTGATCCGAGAAAACTCAGAGCTATCTGTAGCAAGCAATTGGGGTGCAAGGCTCCGACTTGCTCAGGACAAACCAGGCCAGTGGTTTTCAAACTGCTTGGCAGGGCCCCGAAGTGTTCTAGGGGTTGTCTCCTCAGGAGTCCTTAAGGAGGTGGGGGGTGGAGGGCTGCACAGACTGGGCGATTTGCCCTCAGACAGAACAGCTCCCCTTGTAGCTGTCTTATGTATGTATCGGGGTTCAGGGTAAGATTTTATTTGTGGTAAGGGCTTTGCTGCTGAAAAAAAGTTGGAAAACCACTGACTAGACCATCCGCTCCACGGGGAGCCTGTGCTCCTTCAAGTTCAGGGAAGGTGCTTTGCTCTGCCCTTCCCGCAGGACACCTACCCAAGTTAGCATTCCTGGAGGCCTTTAGCGCACAGACACCGGGAACCATGGCTGGGTTACCAGCATGCTCTGCTCACAAGCCTTCACGAGGGTGGAGGACAGAGGCTCTTAGGAGACAGTAAAGTGCTTGGTCTGGATTCCCAGAAGCTTAGCTCAGATGGGACCAAGTGGGGGAGGTGCGACCTGTCCTGCGCTTCCCTTAAGGGCCAGCAGAAACCCAGAGACTTCCGTCAGGGAAACCAGGGACTGTCTGGAGAGCCATATCGTTCCTTTGGAATAGCTCTTGGCCAAGAGGGCTGAGTATGGCTCCCGATTTTTAAATCCATTTCATTTTTTTAAACTGAGGGAAATGGATATAATTTTTCAAAGACTAAATAGGTGGAGAGGATGTTCCTGCTCTCCAAGCCCGAAGGGACAAATAGGGACTTAGCTTATCAGCCAAGGAAAGAGCAGAAGTGGGGCAACTCAGCCCTGAGGTTATTAACCCCACTCCCCATTCACACTAGGACACACATATTCTATTTTACTTTTTTTAAATCATAAACGGCAGGAGAACAGATTTGGTTAGTTTAGAAGAAGAGAAAAAGCTCTATAAATATAAATATATATTCCTGTATTTTTATTTAATAATTTATAAATGCCAAGTTCATTTGACTTTTATTTTTGTGTAATATGTAATGGTCGTATTAAAAATAAATAAAGCCCAGAAATTTAACGAGAAGTACTGAAACAGGGTTTTGTGACTTCTATATTGTACAGCCTGGGTTTTAGAACATTCCCTAAACAGCCATTTCTTATGAACATAACCTTGTCAAGGGAAATAATTAGAGTTACAGGGATTTGGGAAAGTATTGAGATTAAAAAAAAAAAATCACAATACCCTAACCTGGCCAAACACTCAGTCTAAGAACTCTGTACCAAATGGTATAGGCATATGGTGCATTGGGAGCCCCCCCGACACTCCAGTCCCTTCCCCAATATCCTGGCTTGGTGTGGTGGCAGACTGCAATCCAGCAGTAAGAGGTGGAGACAGGAAGGTTGGCCACCCAGGTACATTGTGAGTTTAAGGACAGCCAAGGCGTCATGAGACCTTGTCTCTAAACCAATCATCAGAAAGCAAAAGGGGAATTAATGAATGAAGGTCATTCTTAAGTAATATTCTCAAATACAAGAGCTAGGCTGAGGCCAGCCTGGTCTACAGAGCGAGTTCCAGGACAGCCAAAGCTACACAGAGAAACTCTGTCTTGGAAAACCCTAAAAAAAAAAAGAAAGAAAGAAAAAGCTCGGCTGTGACCTCTGCTGTGAGTTTCTGGGCAGTCAGAAAACTGGAAAACAGTGAGAGTCAAAGCTTTCCAGTTCCTCGGAAGGCACAGTTTTCTGAAAAGGTGCTTAGTGGCGCAGCTGCTGGCAAGTGGAATATTTTCTAGCCCTGTCCTTTTAGAAATTCCAAGTAGGGATCCAGACGGTCTTAGGTTTGCTGTATCAGCCTCACTAGAGTTTAGTCCAAATGTTACTTTATGGTGGTCTGGTCGCTGAACTGTAGATGTCCAAAGGGACGGACGGCTGTTTGTATACGTTCTCTGTAAATGCCACTCATCCAGATGGCACTTTTAACAAAAACTAAGTGGACAGCACTTAGTTACGATTTCTGAGCACTGTGAGCGTAGGGAGGCTGGGTTGGGGTGGTCCTGGCCATGCTGTGATTCTAGTGCAAAGACTTCAAGTGTAGGTTTAGCTGGTACTACACAGCTCCAAGCCAGCCCAGGCTGCAAGAGAAGACTCATTGTCGGGGAAATAGTAAAACCAAAACCCTACAGTTTCTGACAGATGGGTAGATTATAGACACTCTTTATAAATATTTTGTTTGCTTTTTGTTTCTTATTTATTTATTTTTGGTTTTTCGAGACAGGGTTTCTCTGTGGCTTTGCAGCCCGTCCTGGAACTAGCTCTGTAGACCAGGCTGGTCTCGAACTCACAGAGATCCACCTGCCTCTGCCTCCCGAGTGCTGGGATTAAAGGCGTGCGCCACCATCGCCCGGCCCTTACTTATTTTTTTGAGAACAGGATCTCTCTGTAACTGCTCTGACTGTCTTGGAACTCGCTTTGTGGACCAGGCTGGCCTTGAATTCAAAGAGATCCACCTGCCTCGGCCTCCCAAACTCTGGGATTAAAGCCATCACTGCCTGGCTTCTTTTCTCTTTTGAAACAGGATCTTGCTTGTAGTTCAGACTAACCACAGACTCACAGTTTCTGGATTCCAGGTGTATACCAGCATCTGAATGGGTTATGGGGAGCTATATAAGTAATAAAAACACAGCCAGAAGCTAGATGCCAGTTACAGTTCCAGCGTTTGGGAGATAAAGGCAGGAGGACCAGGTAGTTCAGTGCCAGTGTTCAACACACACATAGAAACATCAGAAATTTTGAGCAGAAAACATAATATAATGAACTATATGATTGCTTTCTACTCACTGTTCACTCTTAGAGAAAACGTTCAAATATTTGGTGTGTGTTTAGTACAGCACTAGGCATGCAGGCAAAAAGAATAGAAAGACACCTCGGCTCACAATTTGCTTACGCTCTAGGAAGGGAAACAAAGATTTCATAAGGTGTTAGAAAATAGTAACTACTATGAAGAAAGATGTGGCACACACCTTCCTCCTGGCACTAGGGAGGCACTGGCAGGCAGATCTCCGGAAGTTCAAGGCCAGTCTGGCCTAGTGTGAGACCATATCTAAAAATACTTTAAGAAAAGCAAGGTTGGAAATATGTATGTATTCTAATTTTAAATCAGATGGCCAAGGGGACCCTCATGTCCAAGGCAACAGTAAACCATGAATGGGGTAATTGAAAGCATTCATTAGCATGTTAAAAAGTTTCTGTATTTTCTTGTAAAACTCATGAAGATAGTGTGTTAAGTGTGAAGGGTCATACTTTGTGTGTGTGTGTGTTTCCTATTTAAACGAAGACTTCAACAAGAGTACATCAAGATACCATTTGTGCTTTTGTCTAGTGGGTAGATTTTGTTCTTTCTGCTATCAGTATGTTCTGATTTGGGAGGAGTAATGAACATAAACATTGATACAGCACCTTAAAGCACATTCTGAAATAGCTAACCAGTCAAGCCCAGTGGAGGGCATGTATATTTGCAATCTCAGTATTCCAGGGACAGGAGGATCACCAACAGTCAGGGGCCAGTCTGTTTACATATGAGTTCTAAGCCAGCCAGGGCTACATAGGCAAACCCTTTATGAAAAGATTAGTCACTCAGTGGGCTAGTGAGATGGCTCAGTAGCTAACAGTGCTTGCCACCATACCTGGCAGCCTGAGTTCAATCCCACATGAAGTTCAATCCCACTTGGCAAGACCACCAAGTCCTGAAAGCTCTTCTCTTACCTCCACACAATGCCCGGACATATGTGTTCCCCACCTCAAATAAATATATGTGAAAAGAAAAAATAGCTAATCGGTGGAGCTAGAGAGATGATTTATTGGTTAAGGGCACTTGCTGCTCGATTGTGAAGAACGGAGTTCAGATCCCAATATTGTGTCGGGTAGTTCATAACTACCTGTCACTCCAGCTCCAGGAGATTAGTCACCTTCTGGTATCTGTGGGCACCAGAGCACACAGACACATACGTAAATTAAATAAAATGTTTTAAAGTTATCCAATCAAAACAAATTAAGCAGCCCTGGCAGCAGCCCTTACTCATTTAAATGTCCATTCTACTTCCGTGCGAGGTCTGAGCCAAGACGTTGACACAAGCAAGGTCAGGCAATATTAGAAGATACCAGGATCTCTGTAAGATAGGGATGAGGGGCTGGACAGATAGCTCAGCAGTTAAGAGTGCTTACTGCTTGTAAACAGAAGCTGCTCGTTTGTCCCCCAATGCCCAGACCCAAATAATCACACAGAAGCTATATTAATTACAACGCAGTTTGGTCTATTAGTTTAGGCTTCTTATTAACTCTTTTTTTTATGTTGCCCTTTCTTTAAGATTTTATTTATATATTAAGTATACAGTGTTCTGCCAGAGGAGGGCACAAGATCCCATTATAAATGGTTGTGAGCTACCATGTGGTTGCTGGGAATTGAACTCCGGACCTTTGGAAGAGCAGCCAGTGCTCTTAACCTCTGAGCCATCTCTCCAGCCCCTTAACTAACTCTTACATCTTAACCCATTTCTACTAATTTATATTTTACGACAAGGCTCGTGGTTTGTTACCTCTTGCTTCTTGAGCTGCTACATAGCATTCTCTGACTCTACCTGTTCTCTCTCTGTTCAGATTTCCTGCCTGACTTTGCTCTACTAAGCCATTGACCAAAACACCTTTATTTATCAACCAATAAAAGCAACACATGTATAGAAGGACATCCCACATCATCTCCCCTTTTCTGTCTAAATAAAAAAGGTTTTTCCTTTAATATAGTAAAGTTACATATAGCAAAACAGTTATCCAGCAAGAATTATAGTTACAATATTTAGTCCTTTTACATTTGGCAAATTAAGGAAAATACTGTCATCTATTCTATCTTTGTGAGTCTAAAGTTTTATATCTAGCTTATCTAATGAACACTGCTCATTCATTTCCTGTCTGCCCAGCCCCGAATAATCACATAAAAACTATATTAATTACAATACTGTTTGGCCAATGTCTCAGGCATATTTCTAGTTAGCTCTTACATCTTAACCCATTTCCTATCATAAAGCTGTGTATTATAAAGTTGTAGCCTACCGGTAGGTGTCTTTCTCCTTCGGCAGCTACATGGTGCCTCTCTGACTCCATCTAACTCTATATATCTCTGTTCAGATTTCCTACCTGGCTTTGCTCTACTAAGCCATTGCCTGAAAGAACTTCATTTATCAACCAACAAAAGCAACATATATTCAGAAGGACCTGGGTTCACGTCTCAGCATCTACAGAGCAGCTCGTAACTATCTATACGTCCAGGTCCAGGGAAGCTGACACCCTCTTTTGGCTTCTGGGGACTCCCCCTTCATACAAGTGTTAAATGTAAATCCACACAGGCACATATATACATACACATAAAAATAATAAGTTTTTAAAAGAATACCATAAGGTTCCAAGTCTTATGTCAGCACTGTCCAGTGAAAAATAATGCAAGCCATAATTAGAGTTTTACACTATTCTAGCCACCTCATTAAAAATATAATAGCAGCTGGGTGGTGGTGGCACACACCTTTAATCCCAGCACTTGGGAGGCAGAGGCAGGTGGATCTCTAAATTTATTCCAGGATAACCAGGGTGGCACAGAGAAATCCTGTCTTGCTGGGCAGTGGTGACACACGCCTTTAATTCCAGCACTCAGGTGGCAGAGGCAGGTGAATCTCAGTTTGAGGCCAGCCTGGTCTACAGAGTGAGTTCCAATATAGGCTCCAAAGAGAAACCCTGCCTCGAAAAACCAAAGAAAAGGAAAAAATCCTGTCTTAAACAAAATAAACAACCAAAAAAAAAAAAAAAAAAAAAAAGGAAATCAGATACAGTTGCACATGTACTTGATATATAATTTTATATTCTGCTGCTTTGGCTTATCATTATTTTTGCAAGTTTAAGAATATTTTGTACCTCACAAAAGGTACACAAAATACATATATTTGCATAATATGTATAACCTCTTGGGTACAAAATAATCTTTTGTTGGATATTATAGTTTGCTTACATTTTTGTTTCTTTCTGGAATTTATAATTTTCAGTGTCATA